GGCATTGCACTGTAGCTGTGCCACCTTCAGGATACAGCAGGGTCGTCCCGAGGCTGGGTATCACCCGAAGCGGAGACCGGGTGACACCCTGCAGTGACGTCATCGAGTATGCGAGTGACGTCACCACGTGCTTGCACGATGATGTCATCGCGCACGTATTGTCATCTCATTGACGCCTGCTGGCGGCCATCTTGGTGATGGATGCTGGCAGCCATTATAATGTTATCCTTCTGTACCGGGCCCCTGACTTCGAGGGCGCCATGATTTCTCATTTTCCCCTCTTCTATATATGGAAACATCTTTGTGATTTGTTTATAAGCTAGACATGATCCGAGGTTTCCAGAGCACTCCATACAGCATCCGGACCCAATCATAGAAGGGTGATACGGTTTGGGAATGTTTTGTACCCAACACTGCGACCGTGTCCATCCCAGTAACGAATGGGAGTCGGTAGGATGGGCCCCCGATCACATGATCAATGTGGCTGCCAATCACTGTGACCACATGATCGGGAAAGGAAGCATTCATCGGAGCCTTTGTGCATCCCCGGATATTGGTTGGAGTGCGCCGGGAGCGTCCAAACACCCAAACTGAGACACACAATGAAATAAATTCCTAAACAGCGATTTCACACTCTCCTGGCCTCCAATGAGGTGGAATTAGTGGCGGCTTTCAGACGATTACTGCCTGATCAGCCACTTGACAGCTTACTGGGTAAACCCTCTAAAAGCTCCGCGCACTTTGTTTATAGCCATCCATTAAACATGATATCCTCGTCACTACGCACCACGCCGCAACGTACCAGGGAAAGCAGACGCTGACCCGCCATACTCTCCGAGATGATTGTTCGGCTATTCTACTAAGTATTAGCAAATTTTTTCTACAGTATGACCAATGTGAACTTCACCTGGAGGACACAATCATTCACTCATATACATGGGGGATGCCAAGTGACTCAAGCCAATGCATCAACATTCCGGGAGGGCAACTAGGCAACCAGCATTGGTAGCATCAATGATTCTGTCTCACAGCTTTCCTTTAATAACAACAGCAATGCCTCATTTTTATACGCTATGCCAGTTAGTACTAGGTCTATGGTGACTCTATTCCAACCCCTATACACTATACCAACACTAGGTCTATGGTGGCTTTATTCCAAACCCTATACACTATACTAGCACTAGGTCTATGGTGGCTCTATTCCAAACCCTATACACTATGCCAGCACTAGGTCTATGGTGGCTCTGTTCCAACCCCTATACACTATACTAGCACTAGGTCTATGATGGCTCTTTTACAATCCCTATACACTATGCCAGCACTAGGTCTATGGTGGCTCTCTTCCAACCCCTATACATTATACCAGCCAGATGCCTGCACTAGGCCTATGGTGGCTCTGTTTCAACCCCTATACCCTATGCCAGCACTAGGTCTATGGAGGCTCTTTTCCAACCCCTTTACACTATACTAGCCAGATGCTAGCACTAGGTCTATGTTGGTTCTGTTCCAATCCCAAAATGTTCTTGAGATCATTTAGCAGACCATAAAAAATAGAAAGGGCCTTTTTACAGCAAAAACCATGAGTTGCCATCCAATGATATACACTTTATGGCCAGAAGCTTGTGAACTCCCCTCCAAATGAGTCATGGAAACCCGCAATTCCAGTATTGGCGCAGCAGAGAACTGCTCTTGTTACCATGCAGCCACCAATTATACTGAAGCCTGCACTGGTAAATGAAGACCGGAGAATGAACATTTGATTGGTGATGGTGGGGCGACGTACAACAGTTTAAAGGGAACCTGTACTTAGATGAAACTTGTCAGGATGCACTAGATGGCCAAAAGGTTGACCATCACACTTACTATGTGGCCAAAATCAGGGCGTTCCTCCAAATGATGGAGTTCAGGTGTTTCCAGTGAAGTGAAGTCGACTGAAAGATCTTTCATACGAACGTGCTTACTGAAATCTGCTAGTGTATTGCCATCTTAACACTTTGTGTTGGCTGGTGATGGACACTAAATGGAGTGGTGACGTCACTCCCTCAGTCATGTGACAGTGCATAGGCGTAGACATTGGCTGCTACTGAGCACTGCCACTGGTCAGAACATGTGATTTAAGAACCTCTGCCACACACAGAAACTAAGACTCAAATCTGTGTCATTGGCAGCTCGAACTGAGAAATCCATGAACTACAATTCAGTAGCGCCTACAGGCCTTCTCCCTCCCCCAGCCTGTGACCGGACAGTGAAAGGAGAAGCAGCAGACTGATGAGCTCATCTCTCCGTCATTCTTCTCTCTCCTACTATCAGCATGCTCCTTGCATTGTAAAACAACTAATTGGCTCCCAGTGCTGCTTCTCCCTTCCTTCATCTGGGCTCTGCTGTACAGTTGGGAGAAACAAAATACATTTATAGATATTTTCATACATTATATATTTGTATTCTATATATCGATATATGGTATTTGTATTGATTGGAGGATTTGATGTCATCTTTTTTGATAGGTTGCACTTTTCTAATATAAGATACATATAGTGCAGTATTTCCTGTGTATTTCTGCATTCCCTGCGGTGCAATACACACTGTCTGTGCTCCTCTGGTCAGGGCACAAGGTATTTCTTCTTTCACATCTTAGCTCGGCGTCTGCAGACCATTCAGGAAGGATTGTGTAATCCTCATTACGAAACGTCTCCCTTGGCTTCTGTCAGATGGCGAGCATCTGAGTGTTCCACGGCCAGAGATCAGCCCCTTTTATCTGACAGACGGTGATAAACTTTCCCAGAATTACAGTGAATTTGGCAGCCACAGGAGAGGCTGATGGAGAGTTGGGAGAAAAGCAAGGGGAAGAGCTGTGAGCACTGGAGGGACCCCGGGGGGCCCCTTCGCTTTCTGCTCCTATACACACAACAAGCTCAATTAACACAAGGATAGGGATCTTGATTTAAAGCTGAGCTCCGGCCTTCCCTTCAGTCTTGCAGTTGTAGCGGCTCCTCTCCTTGACTGTGATGGCTTATTCTGATGTCACTACACACTGTGAGCTTCTCACAATGTGCATCAGAAGCTGCAGCATCATCTTGTACTTTCCTTTCCAGCCTGTCTGTCCCTGGCCCCGCCCCTTTCATTCATTGGATTTAATTTCTTTCAATCATGGAGGCTCAGCCTCACATGTGGGCGTTACCTAGGGCAGTCTGCATGCAAATTCACTATAATGCCCCATCCTCTATTCTGACAACCATCCATCAAGGCATTTTGATATTTGCATAACACCTCCCATGAGCCGGCCCACTGCTTGCATCAGGGCTGAGCGCTCTTGAACACCGCAAGCAGTGTAAGTACCTGAATCTTACTTGGCATCAGCCATTTGCACTCCCTGTACAGCAGAGCTTTGAGAAGGGGAAGGAAGAAGCAGCACAAGGAGCCGATCTGGTGTGTTCCAGTCCAAGGAGCATGCTGAGAGGAGCAGATAGCAGAGTGAGATGAGCTCATCGGTCTGCTGCTTCTCTTTTCACTCTCCAGTCCCAGTGTGGGGGCAAGGAAAGTGAAACAGCAGTAGAGAAAGTTCAGGTCCCCTTCTATGCTAGACAGGGTTGTGCTTTGGTGCTGATAGGAGGAGAGAGCAGAGGGACAGAGATAAATCCCCTTCTCTGCTAGGCGGGGTTGTGCTTTGGTGCTGAAAGGAGAGAGCAGAGTGACAGAGAAATGAGCTCATCAGTCTGCTGCTTCTCCTTTCACTGTCCAGTCACAGGGTGAATAAATTAGTTTCAGAGCATAGGGACAGTCGAGGGGTAGACCATAAGCACAGTTTTATGTTTACTCTAAAGTACCGTGGAAGTTCTTGACACTGGTGGCCCTAGTAGTGACCGGGTCTCAAGTCAGTTGGGCCGTCAGAACAAAACCACTCTGATTACCTAATGGGGTCCTTGCTCCCTTGTATTCTGTGTAATGGGATGTGACATCTGCTGGAGTGGTAGAGCTCATCCATTTTGGCCCTCAGCACAGTTGGGGGGACATGCATTTCGGAGTCCTGGTTCTTTATAATGCTGTCCTGCTCCAGGGGCCTCTGTGCAATGGAAACCTGCGGCACAATTCGAGCAGAGCCGCTTGTCCGAGACATCTCCGTATTCTGAGAATTTCCCACGACGAGCCGTTCCATTTCCCATTAACAGGGAGATAAGTTTTGCCTGCCGGAGTGGAATCTCTGGAGGACGGAAATAGGTTAACGCAAACCCTCCATCAGGCCTCTTATCACTGAGACAGGAAACAGACGTCATTCCTTATTTACTAAAGCCTCTGAAGGGTGTACTGTATGGACTGCCCTAGAAGTGTTAATCAGATGCTGGTTGTTTAACCCTTTTTGGAGTTCACTGATGCCGAGATGTCCAGACCCAATTTAGCAGTTTCAGTATGCGCCTGTAAAAGACAAAAACACTGGAAGGCAAACGATAAAACAGCTCTGCGAACGTTTGCGTTTTAGAGTCACCGCCCATTGGGGCCACTAGGTGGAGCCGAAGAACATAGGAATTTCCAGTGCTACGGCTCCATCTAGTGGCCATAATGGGATGTGAATCTAAAAATCAGATGTTCACAGTGCTATTCGCTCTGCGAACACTTTATAAATACACCCCTATGACTAATTTGTCTAGCTATATCATTGATATCATGGCCTGTGTCACCATACTTTGAGCTTGTGTCGATATTATCAGTTTGAGACCATTCAAAATTATTGACATGTATAACTGACCTGCATCAAGGGGGTTTTACATTCCCATAGACTTGCATAGGAAAACCTGCCTGATGCAAACCAAAGCCTGCCGGCGCAGGCCCTAACTTATTATTAATAAGGAAGTGAAGGTGTGTAAAGGTGTACAAGTAATATTTATGTATGTTATTAGTTATTATTGATTGATTATTGATAGATATTCATTCAGTTCCTTTAATTTCTATATATTAGTTAAGCTATATACTGTATGTATACTAAGTCTATATGTCTCTTTTTCCAGGGGAAGTCAGGGGAGAGTGACCCAGCTGAAGAGGCAGCACCACCGTCCGTTGCAAAACTTGCTGGTTTATTTGGCGACAAGGTCAACAGCCCCAGGAAAGAGGTGACTACTGTTACTCTGATATGTTACACTGTTGTAATCTGAAGTGATATATTAGCGAATTCTGTTTTACACTGCATTGTACCGCCACCAGGCCTGGAAACCAGCAATTCTGGTATTTGCACAGCAGAGAACTGCTCTTGTTGCCCTGCGGCCACCAATTATATTGAAGCCTTCACTGGTAAACGACTACCAGAGAACCAACGTGCGATTGGTGACAGGGGGCAACATCCAACAGTTTAAAGGGCACCTGTACGTAGCTGAAACTTGTCAGGATGAACTATATGGTCAAAAGGTTGTGCACACCTGACCATCACACCTACCTATATGGCCAAAATTATGTGGGCGCCCCTCCAAATGATTGAATTCAGGTGTTTCCAGTGAAAGGTTTTGTTAATACTACAGCATGCAAAGGAATTTTAGACAATTGAGCTTTTCTGATCTTGTGGTGACAGTTTGGTGAAGACCATTTTCTGTTCCAACATGACTGTGCCCTGTGTACCAAGCCAGCTTCATAAAGACAAGGTTGGATGAGTTTAGTGTGGAGGAACTTGAGTGTCCTTCACAGAGCCCTGACCACAACCCTACTGAACACCTTTGGGATGAATTGGAATGGCAATTATGAGCCAGATCTTCTCATCCAACATGATTTGATGAGTTTGGTGTGAAGGAACTTGAGTGTTCTTCACAGAGCCCTGACCTCAACCTTACTGAACACATTTGGGATGAATTGGAATGCCAATTGTCAGCCAGATGTTCTCATCTAACATAGTTTGATGAGTATGTTGTGGAGGAATTTGAGTGTCCTTCACAGAGCCCTGACCCAAACCCTACTGAACACCTTTGGGATGAATTAGCACGCTGCATGTGAGTCAAATCTTTTCATACAACATCAGTACCTGATCTCACAAATGTTCCTTTGGCTGAATGGGCCCAAATTCCCAGAGACACAATCCAAAATCAGAGGGCCAAGATGCAAGACTGGCCTAGCAAATCTGGGACAGTTGGCATGTATCCTATGTGGACACCTGTTCCTGCTCCTGTGCACAAAACCAACTCCATGAAAACATGGTTTGATGAGTTTGGTGTGGACGAACTTAAGTGGTCTGCACAGAGCCCTGACCTCGACTCTACTGAACATCTCTGGGATAAAATGGAATGCCAATTATGAGCCAGGTCTTTTGATTCAAAATCAGTACCTGAGCCAGCTCTATAAAGACCATGGTTTGACCAGTTTGGTGTGGAAAAACTTGAATGGTTCGCACAGAGCCCTGAGCTCAACGTTGGGTCGCCAATTGTTGAACCTGACGTCTTTAATTAAGTATTTGTATATGAACTTGAACTTCACAATGCATATTTCTTTTTCCCTAAACAATATTAGACCGTCAGTGATATATATATTTATATTATCAACTTTATAATTATTATTTATATTAATACAAACATTGATATTCATATACAATATATCAGTATCATGAATTTGATTTTTCTGTTCAGTCATAAGTAGGGCTGCGGAAATTAACGAATAATTAACCGATTAATCATAAAAATTCTTTTGATCAATAATGAAAACACTCACCTCTCCGCCGGCTTTCCGGGTCTTCCGGGAGTCCCGTCGGCAATCCGGTGACGTCACGGACATCGACGTCACCGGACTCCTCCCCCCTTCCCTCCGTTAGCCGATGGAGCCACTTGGGCCAGTGATCTGTCGACACTTCGAGTTCTGCGTCCACCTGACTTCCGGTTTCGTTACAACTAAGAGGTTTGCCCAAGAAACTTGTTCTGCACGAGCGCCAGCCAAGGCATTGGCCTATACACATACAGCACAGCAATGAAGAAATAAAATGAACTAGGATCACACTTATCCAGCACGTTATTATTCTGAGTTGCCCCACTCAAGCGGCGGCCATATTGAGTGGGGCACGTGAGATTAATAACGTGCTGGATTAGTGTGATCCTAGTTCATTTTATTACTTAATTGCTGTGCTGTATGTGTATAGGCCAATGTAGTTGGATCTGTATGCGCGTTATAATTAATCAAAATTAATCGATTAAAAATTTTTTTTATTATTCAAACACAAAAATTTTAATCAGTAACAGCCCTAGTCATAAGTAATGCTTGACCTACTTCTGATCATGATAAACTAGTACAAACCCTTTAACATTTTGGTTTTGGTGCCCCAGGTCTTTTAGGAACCTAGAAACACCCCTGCCTGGCAGTGTTATAGTTTGTCCAAACCTCTGTCACTTTTATATCTAAATAAAGACATTTAGAATTTAAAAAAAGGGAATACATAGATATCTTGGCCACCATCATGACATACAATATATTAACTGCTCCCATTTATAAGAATATAATATTCTCCCCAGTGCTGGATAGTGTAAATGTGCAGTACTGTCAGGTGCTCTCTGGATTCTGGTCACAGTAGATGACATAGAACGCAGGTTGAGGGAAACAGAATTAAACTTTCTTAATTTGGCAATGCTGCCAAAATTTACTGGCCAGTATTAGTAGTTGACTCGGTGCTTGGAATTGCTTTTGTAAATGGATTTTGCTCTTCAGCAATGTCCGCTTTTTCAATGTGCCCCTCTTTCTTCAAGGATACATAAAAGGGCAAAAAAAAATCAAAATTGTGAAGGGGAAAACAGTTACAAAATATACAGTATTCACCCTTTTCCGGCTTCCATAGTGTAGGGGTGACATCATCCTGCAGACAAGATTCGGGGGAACGCTGAGTAGCCCAAACCGTGCTGCAGCACTTTGCAGGATCATCTTCTTGGGCAACTCAACTTCCTCCAAGATCTGCCTGGAAGGAGGATGATGTCACCCTCTCCTAGGCGCCGTAGGAGGAAGCCGGGGGAAAGGTAAATCTATTATCTAATTCTTTCTTTTGTTTTCACTTTCATTCAGCGTTTTTGGGAGGTTGAGGGGGACACATTGAATAAGCGGACCTTATCACATGGTCCACTTTAAGACTACTCCATCATTCAGATTGTAGCACGCGGTAGAAACCCCACTGCCTGGGTTTGTGGTCACATCACAACCAGTGAATCAGAATTGCTGCAATCTGACCTGTCCTCACTTCCTGTTTTCTGTTTTCCACTTCTCAGAAGTAATAGCTTGCAAGATAACAGTGTAAGACCAAGGGGCAAAATACGCTGTATAGCAAAATATGGCCCTTAAAGAGGAACTCTAGGATTTTTAAAAAAAATTAACCCTTGCAGTGGGGCAGTGCTCATTTTGTCTAGGGGATGAAAATAAAGAAGAAATGCTCACCCGATCCTGGGTCCTACCTGGCTGCTAGGCCGGTTCTCACGGCCTCTTCTCCCCCCAGGCTCTGTTGGTCTAAGGCCTGCTGATGTCATTATGTCTAATACAGGTCTATTAGATGTAAAGACGCAGAGGGACATCCACAGCTGAAGCGGAGGGACAAAAAAGTGAATGTTCACTGTCGCAGGACCGAGGAACGGGTGACTGTTTCTTCTTTATTTTCACCCCCTAGACAAAAATGGCCCCTAATTTATCCATAAATGGCAAGCTTATGACAAACGTGGTCCAGTCTGACTTCCATCCACACATACGGGCATATGAATTTTTGTTCCCGTGTGCGGCTGCTCTTCTACATTTTGTAGCTGAGCAGGTTCGAACCAAGAAATGAAAATGAACTCCAACAGACCAAAGAGAACTTCCCATACTCTGCTCTGTGTAAGCTTGGCTGTCAGCTTTGGTAGGCCTCGATCTTTGGCATATGTTGAACAGTGGCCTAGAGGTCTCCAAATTTGAGCTTTCCTATCGTCTGCAAGCCAATGAGACCATGTCAACATCCAATACCTGCGCTCTTATTGGTTATTTGGACAGCAGGGAGGAGGGGAGCTCAGCATTGCCGAAGCTGAGACCTCTATGCATGTTCACCCAAGAACAAGAAGGGCTTCCTGGCCACACATAAAAGGATGTTTGGGAACTGTATAGGTACTTATAGGCACCTTTTGGTATCAACATTTACACTACACACACTGCAAACCCATAGTAGCAGTGGTTCCTTCCACCAGGTTATAAATTAGTATGTTTCCCCTGATATAATCATGGTGTTTCTCATGTCTCTTCTCAGGCTCCACCATACAAACCCACAAGAAAGAAACCGCCTTGTTCACTGCCCTTATTCAAACCCGAGGTCACCAACAATGGCGATGAGGTAAGTTCCCATCCTAAAGCATAAGGACCCGAGTACATGAGCTTTTGTTCAGAACTACTTTTCTCCCCATACAAGTCTATAGGACTACAAAAGTAGCTTGATACAGCTTAGAAGATGGTCAACTGCAAGTCAAAAAGAAGGTAACTTGCAGGTAAGAAGGAGATCAACTGCAGATCAGAAGGAGGCCAATTGCATGTTCAGAAGGAGGTCATCTGCAGTCAGAAGGAGGTCAGATTTAGGTCAGAAGAAGGTCAACTTCAGGTCAGAAGAAAGTCAACTGCAGGTCAAAAGGGAGGTCACCTGCAGGTAAGAAGGGGATCAAATGCAGGTCAGAAGGAGGCCAATTGCATGTCAGAAGGAGGTCATCTGCAGTCAGAAGGAGATAAGATTTAGGTCAGAAGGTCAACTTCAGGTCAGAAGGAGGTCAATTGCAGGTCAGAAGGAGGTAAACTGCAGGTCAAAAAAAGGTAACCTGCAGGTAAGAAGGAGATCAACTGCATGTCAGAAGGAGGTCATCTGCAGTCAGAAGGAGGTCAGATTTAGGTCAGAAGGTCAACTTCAGGTCAGAAGGAGGTCAACTTCAGGTCAGAAGGAGGTCAACATCAGGTCAGAAGAAGGTCAACTGCAGGTCAAAAAGAAGGTAACCCGCAGGTAAGAAGGAGATCAACTGTAGGTCAGAAGGAGGCCAATTGCATTTCAGAAGGAGGTCATCTGCAGTCAGAAGGAGGTCATCTGCAGTCAGAAGGAGGTCATCTGCAGTCAGAAGGAGATCAGATTTAGGTCAGAAGGTCAACTTCAGGTCAGAAGAAGGTCAACTGCAGGTCAAAAAGGATGTAACCTGCAGGTAAGGAGATCAACTTCAGGTCAGAAGAAGATCAACTGTAGGCCAGAAGGAGGCCAATTGCATGTCAGAAGGAGGTCATCTGCAGTGAGAAGGAGGTCAACTGCAGATCAGATGCATCGGTGTAGGAACAATTTAGAACAAGCTTAATGCACACTGCATTGCCCATCTACAGAAGCCCTAAATAAGGCAATAAGAGTCTCTCTGATCTCCAGTAAGCCATGACCTCAGTGGTGGACCCTTTACCATTTCCAATCCTCCGGCATGTGCTGCCATCACACTCACTCATATTAACGCTTTGTAATATCTCAATTACAGGTAGAGTTGAATGAGCTGCTGTTATTGCACATGGGGAATTCAGGTGTATGAGCTCGCTGTTGTTATTCCTGACTCTATCCTTGCCCACCTGGTAGTTTTGGGTATTTCCGGCTACCTACAGGCCAAGAGCTCTCGGGTTCTAGCCCTGGCCTCTCAGAGGGGGTGCACAGAATCATGGGACCAGAGGCTACAGACCTATCCAGAAACAAAGTGACAACCATGTGTCCATCGAGTAGTTATTCATAATGGAGGTGTTTCCTGATAGAAAAAGCAGAAAATGATACATTGCATGTACCTACAGTTGTCGTTTAAAAGGTCAAACCACCAAATACAGATATTTCAGCGTGTGGCAGATGCTGCAGACTTAAACCACATGACAGTCTCTTCTATCTCACTAGGAATCCTTGGTCTGTACACCTGCTGTGCCCATTGTGAGGGGTTCCCATGATAGCTGTGCTGATTTTGTGGGTCTGCACACCTGCTGTAACTAATGCTAGAGGCTTTTCTTGAGGCTTCTTCTATCCCTGAGCTGAGTTTCTGGGTCTGTACACTTTTTGTGCCCATTATGAGGGGTCCCCACCATCCCTGTGCTGAGTTCCCGGGTCTGTACCCCTGCTGTGCCAATTATGAAGGGTTCCCATCATCCCTGAGCTGAGTTCCTGGGTCTGTTTACCTGTCGTGCCCATTATGAGGTGCTCCCACCATCCCTGCTGGATATTTATTATTTTATATTGTTGGGAATGTAACAGGAGTAGCTGGGAACACACAATGGTGGGCGGGGGCACCCAAAACTCTGAGGTGGGCATGGACAGAGCCAGTACTTTTGGCAGGGAGCATCCAAGACATATAAGAATCCAGGGGATGACCTATGCTAGCAGGCTCCACCTAATGAATTCTCAGTTTTCTGATCTGTGTAGTCACTATAGAATGGCCATCGCTGGGATGTCTTCTATATTTACACCTTGTGCTTTCCTCTTCTTGCAGAAAGTGTCTCCTCCTCACACACAAATGCCTAAGATCAAGGTGAAGAGCTCCCCTCTTATTGAGAAGCTGCAGGTGGGTGGAAATTCAGATACTCCGGAACAACTCACATTTGACACTTCGGCATTAAAGGAGAACTATGGGGTTAAGTCTTTTCCCCATAGTTCTCCTTACGGTAACGGGAGGACACAAACTAGCGTCCTCCCGTCACCCTAGGCTCAGTATACCGCGAGCTGTAGCTCGCGGTATAATGAGACGCCGCAGCTGAAGCGGATCCCGACAATTGTGCCGGGATCCGCCCAGCTGCGTGACTGACAGCTGGCTCTGCCTATCTAGAGGCAGAGCCAGCTGTACCCGCCCCCTCCCCCGTCCGATCCACCAGTCAGAGGGGGGCGTGGCGGTGCATTGAAGTCAATGGCACTGCAGGCACGTCCCTCTGCCCGCAGTTCGAATGGACGCGTAGCAAAACATTGCCTGCGTTCGGGTCCACTGCAAGCGCAACAAATGCTGCTTGCTCTATTTTTTGTTTTGGCAGTGGACCGGAACGCAGGCAATGTTTTGCCACACGTCCGATCACACTGCGGGCACGGGGTGGGGGGGGCATGGCTTAGGGTTGCCACCTTTTCTTCAAGCGATATCCGAACACTAGCGACGCACGGACATTTTTTTGGGAAGAATGAGTCGTGGCTTATTCATATGTAAATATTGCCGCCCATTCATATGTAAATATCACAGTTGAGACTATTTTCAGTGGGGGGCCAGTAGCCCCTATCGTAATGTTGGTTGCCCCTGTCGCCTGACATCTTGTGTTCGGGTTTCTGCTGCCATGAAACCCGGACACAGCATTCAACATCCGGACTGTCCGTGTGAATCCTGGACAGGTGGCAACCTTAGCATGGCTGCAGGGCCATTGACTTCAATGCACCGCCATGCCCCCTCCGACCCCAGAACAAAGGGGGAAGTTTTGTGAGCGATTGCTGTGCGTTCCAGCAGCTGCTGCTCTGGAAGGAACCGCAAATGGTGTGAATGGGCCCTTAAACTGAAGTCAAACTAATGCCATTGAAATAAGCCCAAAAGCTCTATGTCATCACTAATAGGGTGGGAGACTCCCCTTCCATTTGACTGATTATTTTAAAATAATGAGTAACAAATTGGTACTAATATCAATAGATTATACATAATAATAATAATAATAATCACTAAACAGATTATTACATGTTACATAGAAAATCTTTCCTGTTTGAGTATCATTGGATTATAGCGCCATCTAGTGGACAAATACTAAAATACATAAGAAACAGTAATACATTTTATAGAATAGCGCAGCAGCAATAATTATCATTGCGTGAATAAATTATTGCTATTTGTATGTAGTAGTTACATGACCAGCAAAACCTGTTCAAGAAAAAATACAACAGTCCAGTCGCTTTGATCAATTTTTTTTACAAATACTGTATACCATGACCTGGATGAATGAGAACCTTCACAGATATATTTCCACTTCTGCAGTATATATATTAGGGCTGGTAATTATTAAAATTTTCGTGTTCGATTAATCAAATAAAAAAAAAAAATCAATTTTGAATCAATCAAAAAGTTTAACGATTAATCGAGAAATTAATCTTTAATTTCCACAGCCCTAATATATATATATTTTTTTTATATATATATTTCTTACCTTTTAGATGTTTTGTTGCAGCAGGCAACATGGCTGATTCCAGGTTTTTCCCAGCACCTTTACGGTGATCTGTCCTTATAAAAAGACTGAGGACTGAAATTTCTGGATTGTGTTTCTCTCATTAACTTAATTAACATGCAATGCAGAAGCCAGAGTTGTAACCCTTTAACCCCTCACAGCCCTGCCCAACATTACAAAAGAAGGAGAAGCAAGTAGAAATTTGAACCCTTAAGGAGGCAACAAACCCTGACCCATGTAAAAGTAATTTAAACTGCAAAAAGCATTTTTTACATTTTTGTTAAGCTTTTTCTATGTGAATGAGAACATGTAACAAAAAAAAAAAAAAGGTATTATCTTTCGAAAGTGGAAATACACTTTAAGAACATTAGATTTTTGCCCCATTCACGCAACAGCTGGTTAATTCACACAGGATGAATGTACATGCATTTTCACTGGACGAATAGCTATGCATTTTTATTTTTGATAATGTTCAGCACTTGCTGGCTAGGGTAGTAAAAGGGGTGTATGGGCTAAGAAATTCCATCGATGCTCTAAATCAGGGGCAGGCAACTCCGGCCCTCCAGCTGTGCTTGAAATTCCAACATGCTTCTGCCTCTGGGAGTCATGCCTGTAACTGTCAGTCTTGCAATGTCTCATGGGACTTGTAGTTCCACAACAGCTGGAGGACCGGAGTTACCCACATCTGCTCTAAAGCAGTGGTTCTCAACTCGTGGGTCGCGACCCAAAAGTGGGTCGCGACACCCTCTGCAGTGGGTCGCGGCGTCATGTCTGCATAGGCCGGCCCATCTGCGTTAGAGAGAACTAGAGGGGGAATTTGTGGTTCAGCCTGTGGAACCTCATAATGTCAAACTGTCCCCTCTCTCCCGGCCTCCCCCGGGCTCTGCGATAAAGTGGTATGGCCCGGGGAGAGAGGGGACTATTTCCTCACTTTCGGGCCGGCGCATTAATATCGGGTCCTAAATATTTAATTTTTATTCTTTATAAACTTTTTAATTTTTTTTAATTCATTTACTTTCAGCAAAATATATATTGCTGAATACTGCACAAGTTGTTTTGTGTAATAAATTAAAATGTTTCAGAAATGAAATCATTTTTGGGTCACGCCTTAATGACCAAGGAAACATGTGGGTCCCGAGGTTACACAGGTTGAGAACCACTGCTCTAAAGGTTATGTTCTGACAAAGATCAGTTGATGCTGAATAATGGTTGTTGGTAGCTGGGAAATCCAAAAATGTACCCTTGTGGTGGGGCTATTCCGCACTGCAAGGGTTAAGTGCTCATTTTGGTCTAGAGAGGTCAAATAAAGCAGATCCCCTCACGTGGTCCTTGGTTCTGCTGGCTTCCTCTAGGCTGCTAGACCGCTCCTCAAAATCTCTTCTTCAATGGGCTCCAGCAGTCTAAGCCCAGCTAAAATCACCACATAACGTCCATTGACTTGCATTAGACACGAGGGCGCCGAGGGGCATTGTAAAGCCGGAGCGGAGAGAGGTGGTCAGCACTTACGAGGGGAGTAATACAGAATACAGTGGGGGAGTAATAAAGCATTATTTGAGCCCCCTAGACAAAATGGGCACTTGCAGTGCTCGGGTACCCCCACTCAGGCCCGGATTCCCCACAAGGCCACCGAGGCCATGCCTCGGGGCGGCAGGGCATAGAGGGGCAGCAGCGGTATGGAATCCCCCGACGCCCGGAACTTTATGTGTGGCGGTAAGTTGCCTTCTACATTTAGTCCTGCTTTAGGAAGGCAGGACTAAATGTACTGTGAGAAAGCCACCCCCCTACACCTACCTCTCTTCTCTGGTTCCCCCCCCCCAGCCTGTCTTTGGGGCGCATTGCAGAACCTGGCCTTGGGGCGGCAGGGAGAGTAAATCTGGCCCCGCCCCCACCGCAAGGGTACGTTTTTTTAACTGCCCAGGGCTCTTTTTTAAAAGTGAATTACTTGCACTGCTATCCTTCCGTGATGACATCAATCCCCAGCACTGATCCCTAATAGCGTGCTGACTATGATTACAGCTCTCCTGCTGCCTGTCCCTGATATACACATACTTCATTGTAGGATCAATGACACTATTTTTCCAACTGATATTTCCAGGTGTCACACAGAGTGATCCCTGGGGGACCCCATATATTGTAGTTATACCCCTGCCCCTATGTAATTAGCTTTCATTGGTCTAAAACGCAGCATATTTTTTTTTTCTATCTTGCAGGCTAACTTGGCATTCGCTCCTGCGTCTTTTCTCCCGGGCCCATCGCCGAAGAGCCCCGGTCTCAAAATCATGGCCTCTCCGTTTAACAGCCCCCCCTCAACACCGAACAGCCCAGGACTACCGCCGCGTACCAGCGAATTGGAGGAGATCCCAGTCAGCTTTGAGCAGCCACCAGAGGGCGCCCCTCTCGCAAGCTACACTAAGGTTACTGCTGGGGGGGGATTGTAGTGTCATTGGGCTGGTGGAGTAACTTTTTGTAATAGAAGCGGAATGGGCAGCTGAGGGGTAATCCGCAGACGTCACCAGCCCTTCAATGTTGACTTTAACAGGCATCCCCCGAGGTGTGGTGCCCTCGCTCGGAAAGGTTTAACGAGTCTGTAAATGGATCTTCTTTCCAGTGTGTTATTATGTATTGCTCTTCCGCTGCATCCTACTAGAGCAATGGAGCGTCAGTCGTTGGTTAGGGACTAGGGGTGAGCGAAAGTTGTGATTTCCCCAAAATTTTAGGCCGGGTTCACAAGTAGGTGGCATTGTTTTCGTGCGTGTTCAGCTTGCGGTTATTTGCGCATACAAACGCTCAAAAAGGCGCATGAAAAATGTGCAACCTGCTTCTGCCGCGTGTTTTCTGGCGTTTCCATTGAAGTCTATGGGGCAAAAACGCGCTTTTAACTGCCCAAAGAAGACTTCTTGTACCTTTTTGGGCGTTTGGCATTTTCCTGCTGGCGTTTTGCTGCTCAGGTGTGAACAGGGGCCATTGAAAGTCATGGGATTTCTTGTGTTGGGCGCTTTTCCAACTGCTCAAAAACTCCTAGGTGTGAACCAGGCCTTAGGGAAGATCCGGGGCGCCCGATGTCACCCTTTAAATGCATTGGAGTCAATGGGGAAGGTGAAATGAAGGTGGTTTTTATGGGTGCAATGGGATTTCAGTGGCTCCTAAGCAGAGGCGTATCTACAACTAATTGCACCCCTGGCATCCCGCCCAGCTCCTGGCAACCAGTGACGTCAATGGTTGCCAGGAGCTGGGCGGGACGCCGGTTGCTAAGGGCCGGGTGGGGAGATGTGTAGGGGAGAGGGGTGGGGAGAGACAAAAAGTCAGCTGTCTCCGTTGGGTCGGGGAACTTTTTGCTGACCCACGGAGCGCCGCCGCCCCTTCAAGTGGCACCCAGGGCATGTGTCATCCCCTGGATACACTACTGCCCCTAAGATTTACAGCGCCTTTAAATGAACCTGGACCTGTGCAAAATATGGCCCCCATTAGTCTCATGATTTAAAGGGCAAGTTCATTTTATAACTTGTGGTGTGGCACTTCAGATCCTATTGTGTGTACAAGCCTGCAGCCCAGAATCCAGACACGCTGCACAAACCCCAATATTTTATTGCTGTCTATGACTTCCTGGTGACACCTGGACCCTCCATTTCTTGTATGGGTGTCAGCGGAAGAAGGAAAGGAGGGACACATATCTCCAGTGGGGCCACAGTCATAAATAAACTGTCTGGAGTTCGCTTTTGAAATGAATCCGGGTCACTGATGTTGTCTCATATACTCCTCCTACCCAGGTTCGGACTAGAGGCTCCCTAAAGAGAAGACCCCCAAGCCGGAGGTTTCGAACATCCCAAAGCGACTTGGACTTTGAAAGCGACATCATAAACACGGCGCCTAAAGAAAACGGGGATAAGGTGGAAGAAGAGGGCGTTGGGGGTTTAAAGGATACAGGCGAGACCCGGCAGGCAGAGTCAGCGTGCGAGACAGACACAACGTCACATGACCCGGAGGAAAAGTCACCGGAGAGCGCACAGGACGACCCAGGAAAGACAGAGAAAGAGACACAGAATGAAGAGGGGTCACCGAGCACAGCAGAGGAACAGCGGGAGGCCACACCGGACACAGGGGTCACAGACTCAGCAATCACTAAAGAGGAAACAGTGAACACGGAGGATGACAAAGACAAGCCAAGCGACGGACAAGAGAAGGACGAGAGCAGCGCGCCTAGCAAATCAGATGCTGATGTGAGTAGAAGACATAATAAAGCTGAACGCCGGGCAGATGTAGAATATACAAATTAATGATTACATCTTAAATACAAGCTGTGTAAGTACCTGAATGTGACCCGGTATCAGCCTCTTGTAGTAGCAGGGCTGGAGTGGGAGAGGAAGAAGCAGCACAAGGAGCCAATCAGTTCATGTGGTGAAAAGAAGCATGCTGATAGGAGAGAGCAGAGTGACAGAGAAATAAGCTCATTACTGTGCTGCTTCTCCTTTCACTGTCCAGTCACAGTCTGGGGGCTTGTCCGGGACAACCTGGGCTCGGAGAAGTAGGCTGAATGATGCTGGACAGACTGAGGACATCTAGTGGCAGAAAGGTGGATATTGGATTTAAGGTGAATGTTGCAGAAAGTGTGTTTTTTGCTATTTTACCCTCCTCGTGTTGATTTTGTTATTTTTGGCTGCTTCGGATGCCTGATAACTAAAGTGGTGTTCTATTCTGTGCAATTCAATGCATTCAGTTCAGTGCAGTCTGTAGATATTAGTTCTACTCACTCTAAGGCTCACCATACATGTTACAATCTGACCATACAATCTCTGTACAGACAGCGTACTCACCAAAGCTATGTAAAATGAGAACCTACCAAATCTATCCAAATCATTTGTATCAAATCAGGCAGGCCCTTGTACTACACAGTTGTTGGTAGATCTAAAGGAGATAATGCAATCACATTGTAACATGTGTGGTGAGCTTTAGGCTCACCACGCACTTTACAAACTGATTGTACAGTGGGCACTGCAACCTAGTCACTCCAGCTGCTGTGGAACTACAAGTCCCATGAGGCATTGCAGGACTCTGACAGCGAGAGGCCTGACCACCAGAGGCAGAGCACCACCCGACTCAGAAGTCATATTGGGAACAGAGATGGTTCATTTAGATCAAGGGTAGCCAAACTTCGGCGCTCCAGCTGCTGAGGAACTACAAGTCCCATGAGGCATTGCAAGACTCTGACAGCCACAGGCCTGACCACCAGAAGCAGAGCACCACCCGGCTCAGAAGTCATATTGGGAACCGCGATGGTTCATTTAGAGCCTAAATGAACCATCGCGGTTCCCAATATTTTAGACCAGGGGTAGCCAAACTTCGGCGCTCCACCTGCTGAGGAACTACAAGTCCCATGAGGCATTGCAAGACTCTGACAGGCACAGGCCTGACCACCAGAGGCAGAGCACCACCCGACTCAAAGTCAAATTGGGAACAGAGATGGCTCATTTAGACTAGAGGGTAGCCAAACTTCGGCGCTCCAGCTGCTGAGGAACTACAGGCCACATGAGGCATTGCAAGACTCTGACAGGCACAGGCCTGACCACCAGAGGCAGAGTCATCATGGGATTTGTAGTTTCAGCACAGCTGGAGTGCCAAGGTTGCCTACCCCTGGTATAGTGTATGGTCATCTTTAATATCTCCTGATCAACTGCAGCCTGATGAAGTGAACTGCCACCAAGTGATTAAACCCCTCAGAGATTAAAATTGCTTACACTGGCCATATACATCTCGAATGTTGTCTGATTCTTGCTGGATTGGCCCAAATTCAAGCCGTGAGTGGCCCTCCTCAGTCTGGGTTGATCCCAGCCCAGAAGTCATATCGGGAATAGGGATGGTTCATTTAGGGCAGGGGTAGCCAAATGTCAGCCCTGCAGCTGCTTAGGAACTGCAAGTCCCATGAGGCATTGCAAGACTCTGACAGCCACCGGCATGACTACCAGAGGCAGATGGATGATGGAATTTGTAGTTTCAGCACAGCTGGAGGGCTGCAGTTTAGCGTAACCTGATTTAGGGCATCCCCTAAGCTTCTGTCGCCTTGTATCAGTGCCGGTGACTGAGCAAGCAAGTGATAGGCTCAGCAGCAGTTTGGGCAGCGTCAACACTGATTTCAGAGACACGGCTGAGAAGAGCGCACAGCAACGTCTCGTATGATCCCTCAGACATCTCTGACGCGTGGTGGTACTATATGTGGTACTATAATGCCTTTTATTGTCTTTCTTCAGGATAATCCGGAAAAATGACGAGAAGTGACCGACGCGAGCCTTGGCGGGACAACGCGGTAGGCAGACATCCTCAGGATTCGTCGCGGCCTCGGATCCGGCCACCATCTCTCCATCCCGGGGGAACACCTTTCCCTAGCGCAGTGCGGCCAGCGTCATTGTGTCCCGGGGAGTTCCTTCAGGCATGTCCAGGCGATCCAGTCTATGAGTGGGATTATAGTGTACATGCAGCGAATGCATTTTGTATAGATTAATAGGCCTTGTGTGTTTTTTTCAATTTTCGGTTACAATCAGCTAAATACATTCCGGGTACAAAGCAAAATAAGTTCAAAGCAGGGATGCACCGATACCGGTATTTCGGTATCGAGTACCGATATTTTTTTTCCGGTACTTTCCAATACCGATAAGCTTCCTGATTGGCCGAGAAGCCAGCTCCATGCTCCCTCGTCATGAGGGAGCCCAATCAGAAAGCCGGGTGCCACGTCATTACACGGCGCCCAGCTTCCTGATTGGCCACCTTCCCGACCAATCAGGAAGCCGGGCAGCGCCTCATTACATACTGCCTAGCTTCCTGATTGGCTGGGAAGCCGACTCCATACTCCCTCACCACAAGTGACAAGGAAGCATGGAGCCGGCATCCCGGCCAATCAGGAAACCAGGCAGCGTGTAATGACTCTCTGCCCGGCTTCCTGATACAGGAAGTATCGGGCTAGGCATTGGAGCATTTGGCTGAGTACGAGTACTCCCCCAAATACTCGGCATCGGCACCGATACTGGTATCGGGGCATCCCTAGTTCAGTCTTAGGCCTGGTTCACAACTGGAGGAACGCGCTGTAAAACGCCCTGCGCCCAAAGAAATACAGGAGCTTCTTTGGGGCGTATTTGTCGCGCGTATACATTAGGATACAGCAGGATAGCCCTCGGAAACGCGCATTTGTCACGCGTTTCTTTTACCACAAATCGCGGTAAAAACATGCGGCAAACGCGCATATTACGTACGCCTTGCAGTTCATTTTCTTTCTAAATCAACCACAGTCCGAGTTGAAAAGCCTGTCCCCTGCCAGCAGCTACAAAGCAGGACATCTACTGTGCGGAAGCAGTGGTCTCTCTGCAGAGGTCTGACGCACCCCCCCCCCCTGCTGAGTCCGAGCCAAAGCTGTCCAGTCAGCAGGAAGCATGATGTACCCCTGTAGAGAGACCACTGCTTCCCACAGAGAGCAACCATCCTGCTTTGCAGCATGCTGGCATGGCACAGGCTTTTCTACTCATATGCTTTAGAAAGAAAACGACCTGTAAGACTTTACAGACCTTTTGTTTGAGAGAATGTATTTAGCTGATTTAAACTGAAAGTCCTGCGAAGCTTCCTGAAATATAAACCGTCTGTGACCAAAGATGTCCTCCTGTTATGTTTCTTGTTCTGGAAAAGCCAATAGGGTATCAGGGTGAAATACAGACAGTTCTGTGTTCAGGCACTTGGATACGTGAGGTTTAGCTTTAAGCAGCACCCGGCAGGAAGCTAGCGAGGCAAGTTGGGAGTTCTGTTCCCTCTGCGGAGAGTTTCACCCCCCCTTGTGGCGTAAAAGTACCCGCGCTGTTTTGTTTTTTAATTGTCTTTTTATTAAAGTTTTAAGCGACACAACGGAAAATATTAGATTTTTGTTTTTTAAAGAAGAACTCTGGTGACAAACAAAACTTTTGGAAGAATGTAATATCTGGTTATGTCCAATGAAGTGGGAGTGTACGGGCCCTGAATGTTACGGATCAGTTCCTGCAGCAAGTCTGGATGGGGTGGGGCTGCCCGTTGCTGGATAGAATTATCAACATGACTGCGCACCAGTACACAAAGCAAGGTCCATAAAGACATGGATGGGGGAGTTTGGGGTGGAGGAACTTGACTGGCCTGCACAGAGTCCTGACCTCAACCCGATAGAACACCTTTGGGATGAATTAGAGCGGAGACTGCGAGCCCGGCCTTCTCCTCCAACATCAGTACCTGACCTCACAAATGGTCCAACATTCCCATAGACACACTCCTAAACCTTGTGGACTCCTTCCCAGAAGAGTTGAAACTGTTATAGTGGCAAAGAGTGGGCCAACTCAATACTGAACCCTGCGGACTAAGACTGGGATACCATTAAAGTTCATGTGTGTGTAAAGGCGTCCCAATACTTTTGGCAATATAGTGTATATATTATTTATATGGATGTACAGTATATATATAAGTCACAACTTAATGCAACGCTGTAATCATTATTACCTCATTAAATGTATTGTGTAAGCACCTGGTATCAGCCTATTTCAGTCCCTGCACAACAGAGGAAGCAGTAACACAAGGAGCCAATCAGTGCATGTGGTGATAAGTCCTGTAAGTGAATGTGAAACTGCAGCAGAAAACGTTCAGGCACCCTTCCCTGCTAGACAGGGGTGTACTATAAGACTGATAGGAGGAAAGAGCGGAGTGACAGAGAGATGAGAGTATCACTGCGCTGTTTCGTTTTTCCCTGTCCAGTTACAGGCTGGGGGCTTGTCCGGGATAACCTGGGATCAGGGAAAGTGGGTTGAATGATGCTGGACATCAGGCTGAGGACATCTAGTTGCAGGAAAATTACTGTGGGGAAATTTCTGGACTGGAGGTGACTTTTTTCTTTTAATGGGCTATTCATTTTTATTTTCTTGGCTGCTTTACATTAGTTCTGTTTTGCTGGAGTTCTCCTTTAAGTGTACTGCTGGCACTCCTTATTGTCTTTGATGTCAGGGAGCCATTGTCTTTCCCAATGTAATGTGCATTATTGTTGTGGTAATGCTGTAACCTTTCATTGTACCTCCATCGCCACTCGCCGGCCCACGGCAGAGCGTTCATGTGATCTCCGCGGCCGCATGGGAGAGGTCAGGTGACTTCTCATCAGCTGTCACTGATTGGACCCCCAGAATCTAGCCGGCAGGAGAGGATGCGAGGGACGCCGATCGCTACATGGTGCTTATAGATAAATGGATGCGTGTGCCACAATTTAAAGGGAATCTGTACTATTTTTATTTTAGCTATAGATGGTCATGTGACTAGCTTGATGTAAATATTTTAAAGTGTGTTAATGTTTTAAAAAAAAATCTTTCTGTGTATATTGTTCAAAAAATATATATATATATCTTGTTTCTATGTATAGAGTGTTATTATATATGTACATGGAGCTCAGCCATATTGGTTCATTACATATGCAGTCTCTGCTTCCTTCTCCGTAGCACTGCTCAGTGACTGTCTCTTCTTGTCACTCAAGTTGGTGTTTCTGTGAGCACAGGCTTCCTGCAAGGCCAATGCTGCAACACTGTATGTGAATAACCCCCCAAATCATCGGTGTCAATGGAATAGTAGGGCCCAAGGAAGA